AGAAGAAGAAGAAGAAGAAGAAAGAAGAAGAATAAAGAAGAAGATGAAAGAAGAAGAAGAATAAGATAAAGAAGATGAAGAAGAAGAAGAAAAGAAGATATTGGGAAGGAGCAAAGAAAGAAGAAGAAAAAGAAAAGAAGGAGGAGGAAGAAGAAGAAGAAGAAGAAGTATTTTGAAGAAGAAGAAGAAGAAGAAAGAAAGAAGAAGAAGAAGAGGAATGCCAAATTGAGAAGAAGTCAAGAAGAAAAAAAAAAAGAGATTTTGAAAAGAAGAAAGAAGAAATTTAATGAATTTGTTTTTCAAAAGAAGAAAAACCAGATAGAAATAGATTAATAGACGAAAAATAAAAAATCAAATTTTATAAGAAAAATTCAAACAACACCATTAAAAAAAAAAACGTTATAATGAATATTAATAATGGATATTTAAATATTAAAGATGGAGAAATCGAATATTAAAATCAATTTAAAATGGAGGAAAAAAGAAGATTGAAGAAAGAATATATCATTAGCGTGAAGATAATGGAATAAATATTTTAAAAGAAGATTTATTTTAAAACAAGAAGAAGAAAATTGAAGAATTTTTGCAATTATCAATATGAAAAGAAACTGTCATTTTCTGATTCATCTTTTTAAAATTTATTTTTCCTAAATTACCAAAAAAAATGTTTGAATTTTTCAAAAACAGACAAAAAAAAAGATTGTGTAAATAAAATTTTTTTGAATATAAATTTTTCAGTCTTTCTTTTAAAAACCATAAAATTTTATTATTTTAGAATTATTAAATGATGAATTAAAAAGACGATTACCAAAATTAAAAATTCACTTATTTAATAATCCAAATTTTTGAAATTTTAATTTTGGTAAATATATTAGCTTAAAACCAATTTTTTAATAATTTAATAATGAAAAATTTCAATCACCTTTGTCCATTTGATCGCAAATAGTTAGATTTGAAAAATAAATCTTGTTGATGACATAATGTTAAAAGTTGAATCGATATATATAAGATATATATATATATAGAATTATTTATATAGATAATATTTTCAAATGAATAAACATAACACAATATTGACCTGAAATAAGCAAAAAAAAGATTTTTAACAGGGATAATGATTTAATAGATTTCGAAAACGACATAAAAAAAGAAATTTATTATGGTAAAAGTCTAAATCACGAATTACTGTTGAAACTTGACTAATGCATGGAATAATAATGCAACACAAAATGTACTTAGAACAAAATGTATTGAAACAAGAAAGTGTACACAATATTTACATATAGTCTTTTGTATATTCCTGGTAAGACCGTTCCTGGAGAATGTGTTGACTGAGTCGCAGTCGGGCAGAGTCTCTGGTTGAATCTCTTGATTCCTCCCTCTCTTCCCGGTACCAACCATATTTATATGGTCGGTACTCCACTATGCAAATTAGGTGGATCCTAAAACTTTTAATGACGGAAAAAAGAATATATATATATATATATATATATATAGAAAATATATATACGACAGTCGAGGTTCGAAATGACAATCTAGAGTTATGAATAAAAATTTCCGCCAGTGTATAAATAGCGGTGTCAGGGATATGACAATTAGTGATTATTGAATGACTTTTCAATGGAACTATCCAGTCGAATTAGTGTGAATTATTGTGTCGATGATTTTTATTTGATTTAGAAATTTACCAGGATGTAAAGCCGACATGTCTACTAACAAGTCATTCACTGAAATTTTATAATTTATTTTTTGGTTGACTTTTATCTTTTGTTCTTGTTAAGTATTTATTTGCTAAGAAATTAAATACTGTTTTATTTTTAACATTGAAATCTTTCAGTTATATAATTTTTAACGGCCACCGTACGTCACAAAAAAATACTCCATATAGATTGGTACCAAATAAATTGGTTATTTTTTCAGGTGGATTTATTTTTGGTAGGAAACAATTTCAATCAATCTTGTCATAAAAACTCGAATCATGTTGTTATGGATAGACCTCGTTAAAGAATTGTTGGTAGCATTAAAATCTCTGCGATTGTCTCCATTGAGCTGATGGGATTACTAAAAAATTTTGGTTCGACGATCACAGATTCGTTTGAAGGCCTTTGATTGATTGTAAAATCTATCAGGTTGAAATAATTCAATTGTATAAAAATTTGTCTTTGCCAGGAATCTTAAAGGATTCACAATTTACATTTTTTAGATATATATTTAATAAAATTTTTAGGTTAGAATAACGTTAGAAAATAATAGAAATATGATTCATGATTAAATTCATCAATGTCTTTAAATTTTATAGTGAGATATATATATATATATATATATATTCTTTTCATAGAGATATAAGAAGGATTTTCAGACGGAGATGAAAAAGAACCAATGAGAAAAGATTTGGTGAGTATTATCCTAAATATATATTAAGAACTGATTTTTTTACGGTTGGTTGGGAACATATTCAATGAATAGTCTTTTTTATGGACATTTAACCTGGTTTTTGAAAATTTTATTAGTAAAATATTTGAAAAAATTTTTTGAATAATTTTTTTAAAAACAAACACATACACACAATTGATACAATATAAGACACTTATTAAACGAATATGACACAAAGAATAATATATATATATATATATATATAAATATGAATATTTCAAAAAATAAAATAATATAATTAAAAAAGGAATAAGAATTAAACAGAATTGTGAAGAATATTCAGCTTTATTTGAATATAATTTCGAAAGTGAACATAACATAGCCTAAAACTAAATAAAACTGATAAAAAATTAATTTAATATCGAAATTAAATTTACAACTGGAATAAAAATTGCCAACAAATAAAAAAATTGCAAAGAGAAATGAATGATCTTTTTTATTAAAGAAAATTAATTTCATGGACAATATGCATATTGTACAAAATAATATTAAAAAATGGATTAAAAAAAAAATGTTAAGAAATTACAAAAAAATGGAAATAACAGTTTTAAAGCCATCTTATAACCAAGACTGGATGTTTTTAACATATTTTCTTTATTTGTGGGATAAATACTTATTTATAAATATATAATATATATATATATATATATATATATAATATAAAATATATTTTATAAAATGGTTTTCCTATTATCTTCGACCAAAATGTCCTCATCCAAGTACCTGAAAATAACAGAAACACTACCTGGAAATGTATGTTTCAATTTTAGTGGTTATATTTGGTCGGGATCCAGAAACCAAACTTTTCGAATTTTGAATACAAAGAGAATTGGTTAACAAATTTCAAATAATCATTCTCCGTTTTAGAATTCAGATTGAATTTGTAAGACTTTAGTTCAGAAATAATCCTAAAAAATTTGGTTTAAAATACTATATAATTAATAAAATTGGCAGTAATAGATGAATTAATAGCGTTTAAAATTGATTTGCGTAGACTGGGATAAATTTTGCCTTAAAAAAAAAAATCTATATATTTTTTGTTTTTTTCAAAAAAATATTTATTCATTAAACCATTCTTTTATTTATGAAATAACAAAAATAGATAGATAGAAGATGAATGAATAGATAGAAAGATATAAATATAGATAGAAATAAACGATTGGAATGGATAAACAGATAGAAAAGGGGAAGAGAAAAAAAAAAGACGGAGCAAAAAAAAGATGAAGACCAGGTTTAGATACATAGATAGAAAAAGGTTTGGTTATTTAAAGTTAAATTTGACATCAAACTAATAACAAAATAGCAAAACGAAAAAGGTAAAAATTTTAGATAGATGAAGTTAACTTTTTTATTTTTTCAAGATAAAAGAGAGAAATTGTGAAAAAAAGAATTTAATAAGACTTAGAAAAACAGCGAAACAAAATTTTCATTTGAAGTAGGGATACGAGAGAAAAAAAGGAAATTAAGATGATACAAAATAAATATATATAAATATAATAAATAATATTTAAATATTTAAAAAGATTTTAATATGATTTGTAAAAATTTTTTAATTAAATATTTTAAAAAAAAGATAGTCAAAACGCTTTTAAAAAATCTGACAAAATATGAATATATATCCACCATTTGATTAATTTATATTATATATATATATAAATTTATATTTATTTTTATTGGTCGTCTTCGAGTATGGAAAAGGAGAAATAAGTTGATAGAGTTAACATATTTTCGGAGATAGATGTGAATTTTTATAGTTGAATTTAATGGTTTATGATTCACTAATAGTCTTCAAATTCGATTCAATTTATCATATATATATATATATATAATTATATAAAATATATATATATGGAAAAAAAAAAGACGCATTGGTTAGAAGAAAGAAAACGGAGAGCGAAAAAGAGAGAAAGAAAGAGAGAAAGATTAAAGGAATAATGAAAGAAGATGAGAAAACAAAATTGAGGGATTGAAAAAATGTTTTTTAAAAAAAGGTGGGAAGAAAGATTAGATAGAATCCCATCTAGAAAAAAAAAAAGATGAAACCGACTTAAATTTTTTTTTTTTTTAAAAGGAGAAAATGAAATTGAAATTAAAATTATTTCCAAATGTTTGTTTTAAAAAACTAAAAGAAAAAAAAAAAACAGAGATAGGGGGAGGAGGATGTTTTGATTTTTTTTACGGTTTATGAACACTTTGCAAGTTATTTAAAGCCAGAAATTATTTTTAGATTGTAAGAATTTGGGAGAGATAATAAGGATTTACTGATTGATGTCCTACTAATTTACCCATAGCTGGGGGCAGAAGCGGTGGATTCACACCTTTCCCAATGGTATTTGCGCGTAAGTGGATATAATGAACCTAAAATGGAATTGGGAAAATACTCAAAATTAACAATGAGAAGTTATACATTGCACCAACCGCACATCCAACCTTTCGGCAACTGGCATTCCCAAGCGGTTACCCATCTAGGTACAGACTAGACTCCAAGGACCATAACATCGGTGACCGTATGAGACTAGGTGTTTAATCGTTATATACCCGTAAGTCATCCCATCCGCACATCCCAGCTTACAGCACCTGATTTTCCTATGCGGTCATCCATCTAGATACTGACCAGCCTTGACGTTGCTTAACTTCTGTGACCGTACGAGAACCGGTGTTTCAACGGGATATGGCCATTGTTATATACATATCATAGAAAATATCCAATATTTTGGAAAATCCTTAAATGATGGTTGATATGATGTCACCAACCTAGATGCCCAAAGGGTTGATATTGTTATTTTGCTAGAGTACATATGTTTCAACGTGTGAGATGGTCATGGGTTTGTGTTGCACATACCCCTTGGCAGCACCCCGTATTAAACGCTTTGACCATTTTCGTATTTCATTTTCTCTTGACGTGCAAGTAAGATCGGTGACCGTATTGAAGAAGTTTTTCAATGTGAGATGGCCGTAAGATTATACCAGTTACATTCGAGCTTGAAGGTATCTGGTATTGTTTGAAGTGATCGCCCATCTGGGTATACAGACCAGTCTCGACGTTGCTGAACTTCAGTGAACGTGCATAGAACCTTTTTTTTCTTTTGTTGCCTATATATATAAAAAAAAGAATATGTACTAACCCATTTAAAATGAAACATCGGATTTCTTGTCATAAATAGCTCATAGAACGCAGATAACATTATAATTTGTCTATAATTACACAAGGATTGGTTTATTTTAGCTGGTTCGATCATGTTCATTTGATGATTCTAATATCCGGCATTTGTTCGCAGTTTAAGACGTTAATGGTCTACCATATTTTTATAAAATCGTTATAAGACTAGAAATTTCCAGCATGATTTGAAATTTTATTTAATGCGTGAGTTATGTTGCAGAAAAATGAAAAGAAAGTTAGTTTAGCAATGGGGTCACCTCTTAGCGCTGTTTTGGCTTGTCAATTTTTAGAATGTCTAGAAAGTGGTCCTTTAAAAATTATTTTACTACAAAATTTTACATTTCTTAGTTCCACCAGTCCTGACCTTCACGGCTTAGACCCACTAAGCCACGCCCATTGAAGCGTTTAAGAAGAACTTACTATTTTCGTGATTGGACATTTGGTCAGATGTAAGTTCCATTCGGATGGCTTCTTTCCATGAACTTGTAGAACCGAGTCTAAAAAGTATGTCTTGTCGAACTCTACCATCTTCACCTGTTCAAGTCTAAGGGGAAAGTTATCGATCACACAAAGGAAATAAGTCATCCTTAACGAACATATAAACCTTTTGAACTCTAGCCATGAACATGAGAGGGTCCACCGCCTTTGAAAAAAAGAAAAAACTCTATTAAAATAGCTGACAGAGTTTTGGGAACAGACATTTAATAAACGTAATAATCTATTATATTTGAGAGAAACAAAACTCACTTAGCTATAAAAACCTGTTTGCGGCAAAAAAGTCGGAAACAACCGCGTTTGGACATTTTTTTTTTTCGACATGCGGTCAGTTTTAGACCTATTGGACTGACGTGATGTGATCGATATCTATTTTTACCTCAGATTAGGTCAGTGGCATGCAGTAATATAAATCTGTTTCCGGGATGTATGATGTAATTTGTTTGACCTTGGAAAATATTGCGTTCTTTGATTGCATCAGATTTTCCTCACGCCCAGACCTTATTGTCTCGACTGTCGATTAGTTGTCCTAAGGCCATTCTCCGTGATGAACGTTACTCCAAAAAAGCGTACGAAAACTGTAACGCTGCACGAACACACTGACCAGTGATCAAATTAAAGTGCTTTAGACTGGCCCGGAAATCTGATTTAAATCCAATCCAGTGGTCGAAAATCTGTGGTCGAAAATCTGTGGAATGGACATACGAAGTACAAAGATTTGCACAGGGTCATGTTTCATTGGAAAAATACGAAAAAATTAAATAATAACGGAATTATTCGGTTTGTTTGAATTATTTTGCAGAGGGGTGAAGATATCATGCTACATAAACTAATAATATCTGTCAATTGGAAGTTTACATAAAATGTACCAAGCTTAATAATTTAAATTCCAGCCATATAACAGAATAAAATCTGGTATTTTACAGATTCTATGTAAGAGCTTTACTTCAATCTGCCATAGTGTTATATTAAAGAAGAAATATACATAGAAAACTTTTAAAAACCTCCAACATCCTTATTATTTCAACGTTAATGCTAAGCGAAAGGCATACAAAATATACAAAGTAAAAATAACAGCAACAATACCACTGACAATAAACTAGATAAGTACAGACATATAACGTAACTCCTTTACATCTACAATCCAAAATTATTTATTAAATTTTAACAATAGAAAAATAATTACAACCACTTCCAAAACTATTATTGCTATGATCAGAACCCAAAATATCTAAAACAAAAATAATTTTGAAGCATATATATATAAAATAACCCGTTGCAACTGCTCGTTACAATAGACTGGGCAAACTTGCAGAAATTTAAAAAAAAAAACAAAAAAAAAACAAAAACAAAAAAAGATTTTTCACATAACAATTTATCAAAGGAATTAGTGAGACACAGGAATAAATTCAACCACAACTTCGATTTAAAGTAATTCCACACTTATTAAAAGAGAAAATAATTTACTAAGACGGAAATTTCTTGGGAGTGTCGCTATCGAATTTTACAAAAATATAAATCTACGCCCGAATCTTTTCAAATATCTCCGTTCCTGAAAGAAATACTCCTTCTTCAAGCCAATATACATGACTATAAAAATGTTGAAAATTCAAAAGAAAACAGTTAAATTCTAAATGTTATATTATTTAAAATACATACTACATACATTAATCCGAAACTAAAATAATATAACTTATATTTACATTATAAAAAATAAATTCAAAGATATTTACTCGCTTTTGTTTATTAGACATTAAATCATTTCATTTAGGATGCTCCATAATTTGCCAAATTTAAATTAGCCTATGTATTTAGGATTGGCTCAAATTAAAAAAATGTTTTAAATCTAATGTTTTTATATATTTTTTACGAAAATTCTTTATTAAAAAACAATCCTTACATTCACAGTGATTATCTGTAGAACGAAATATGTCGGCTAAGATAAGTTTTGCTTTCCTCTTTATTCACATTTAGCTTAAAAATATAGATCGTTCACTTTTTGTTCTTTGGTATGACTGTTTTCTTTCAGAGAATGGTTGGGGTGATTAGATTATCAAGGCATCAATAAACTTGAAAACTTAAAATTAAAAAAAAATTTTAATTAAAGAATTAATGTTAAACAAAACCTTTTAAAATGTTCAACGATAATTCTTTAACCTACATTTTTTTAGGAAAAGATATTAAATTAATGTGTCGTTTTTGACAGAACAATTTTTTCCATTTTTTTGGGTATTTTAGTGTGTGAAGCCACTTGGAAGATGAAATTTTATTAATTCAATGGGACAATAGAAATTTACGACTGAAAATGAATTCGATCCTCATGGATTCCAAAAACAAAACGTTTAAGCAACAATACATCTAAGCATGCTTTTAAATCTGCACTGCAATTTTGGATACATAAACGAAAATAACTATTATATTCTATCATATGAAAAAAAGATCGTATAAAGTGAATTGGAACGTTATAATTATAGCCCGGAAAATCCGATACGTTCCTGGTAGCAACCAGTTTCTTGTTCAAATGGATGTAAGAATCGTGGAAATAAAGACCACTGTGGAGTCTCAAAAAACACATGGAAATATTGATAACGCCGCAATTTGGACAGGTTTGTTCAAATTGGAAAAAATTTATCTACCTATAAGAGGAGAAATGGTTTTGATCTAGTTCCGTCTCAGATAGGTCATGAAATACTTTTCTTAATTAATATTCTAAAGGCTGTGATAGCAAAAGATTGGTCAATACATACTGAGGGGTAATTAAAAACGAGCGTTCCATTTCATTTAACGAGTATACAGTCTTCTTTGCTTATTTCCTAATTTCAAATTTCCCTTTTTTTTCGTCTCCAACTTGTATGATTAAATTTGGAAAAACTATATATAAGTTCAAACAATTTATCTGTCCATTTCAAAGCATGTTTGGTTGAAAAATCGGGAACATATTATGTCTATTTATTTAACAACCCTGAATTAGTGTCTGTATAAAATTGATATTACGTCTCATATAACCTTCAGATTGTTTTTATGGTTTTTATTTTCCCAAGTACTTGGTTTATTTTTTCCAGTCAAAATTGAGAAAGCAAGACCCATGATATTGTGTATAGTGATTTTTTCATGATCAATTTGGAACAAGACCGAATGATTCAAGGGCTTCTTGAGGATTAAAATAAAATACTCAGTCGTAATTTTATTAGTGAAATATATATATATATTACAATGACTTGAGAATAATCGGTAACTATTTCTTTTAAGGTTAAATTCAAATAATGAAAAACAAAAGTTAGGATAATATGTCAATATTTATATCAATTTATTCACCGTAGCTTAAACTTACTATGAGGAAAGAGTCCATCATACGTAAAACAGATTTGTGCATTAATCACCCTAATTTCCAAGATGCGCCACGGAATCCAAACCTATTCATTACGCGTTACTACTTCAAGACGATATAGACTGAATATCAAAACATACCTCTTATTTAAGGTATTGGCAGTGCGTATGATTTGAAGAGAGGGACAATCACAAAAAAAAAACGGTTCACGAAAAAAGACGTTGGGTTGTTTTATTATGCATTGGGACGGTTTAAAAAAAAGAATTATTACTCATCTCAAGGTTTAAATTGTGTATTCTATCACAAAACACAGCGAGATTCAGTAATTTTGAAAATGACGTCAATTTTTAAATATCCGACAGAAACGTGTTTAAAAGAAGAAAATTTCAAAGTCTTGTTTAGCGTTTTTAAATATTTCCCTCATCATCTCTTGTCGAATATTTTTAAATTATTAAAGCGATTATCAAACTTTGCCTGAACGTCATTTGGTAATTTTTTTAGGATTTTTTTTTTTAATTATTTTTTTTGTACTTGTCACGAATTTTTTCTATTTACAAGACACATTTGTTGGTTGCAGCCCAAAATAACTAAACGAAATGTACACTTTCGGATTTTTTAAAAAAAAAAATACCAGAATGTAAAAAATAAAAGATACAGGTACGTCTTAATGGTTGCTATTAGTTGCAAAGATCAAT